GACGTCGACGTCGAAGCCTGCTCGTCTGGTCTCTTCGCGAAAAGGCTGGCCAAGCGCTCCCCGGAGGAGCGACGCCTCCTGATTATGCTCAGCGGGGCCTCGTGCTCCGAGACTCGCCAGCGTACCGGCAAGGCCTGCCTGCATCGATTGCGGCCATCCTCAGCCCAGCACCCAGCACCTCATCGAAGAGCGCCCGAAGTACAATCTCGTGCGCAATACTGCCGCGACCGAGTTCAACTTACCGCTCCGTTCCTGGTCTTCGCTGCCACGCGTGACCTCGAAGAGCGGCTGGGTCACTTGTGCGACAGACCAATCCTTGGTGTACACACGTGCTCGGTACCTCGCTGCAGTCATCATGGTTGCCATCAGTATATTTGAACATGATATCGACGGCCCCGAAGCGAACGTGCATCCTTGGGACTAACGTTATCTACTTAGTGCGTCCACTTCAGAGCTCCGGTGACGCACCCACCCCTCCTTCACCACCAACAAGTCGCACTGGGCGCAACCCCGGGCGCCCTACAGCTCCACAACTGCCTTAAGAAGACGGGCCCAAAGTGCAGATTTCGGGTCTAGCCGCGCTGTGAGCGAGCTGGATTTCCGAGGTGCAAATGTGCGGGGCCCGACCTCTACCTTTCTCCCTTCCTCCTCGGTGTGCCTCGGGATGTAGGAGAGGATCTACGGGGACCCTACGATTACCCCCTCCCATCCACAACATACTTGGTAACGACGCGCCCTGGTGTGACAGGGCTGTACCTAAACGTTGTTGTTCGTTTTGTTGTTCGTTTTGCTATACCTGTTTTCCTGTGCCTCCCTGCCAAAACGATCAAGAAAGCACAGCCGAAGTTCAGCAAAACAGCGTTTAGGTCCAAACCTGTGGTGTGAGTACCGCGGCCGCGCAACGGCGGGCGCCCCTGGGGCGCCAGCGAGCGTCCGGCGACGGAATGCGGGATCCCCGAGTGGCGTTGCGAGAGCGAGAGAAATAGAGAGAGGAGGAGGAGGAGGAGGAGGAGGAGGAGGAGGAGGAGGAGGAGGAGGAGGAGGAGGAGAAAGAGGAGGAGGAGGGGGCACGGAAGGAATACATCGCCGCCCAACCGAAACACGAACCGCCACCCAGCAGAGCACCGCCGGCTAACACACCGCTGCTTCTAGGACCGATTCTGTGCCATGTTCGCTAACCGATATGGACTTACGTGACAAGTGGGGGCAAAAAAAAAAATAAATGGGAACAAGCAAGAAGACAAAAAACACAAAAAAAAGAATAAAGAAAAAAACAAACGAATAAAAAAACAAACAACCATCAACCAAAAACAAAAAGGCACGGCGGGACGCGCGTTGTATCAAGACTTAGCTTTTTGGCCCTTCCCATAGATAAGCACAATAGGAAGCAATATACGAAAGATAAAAAGATCAAAAAACGAAAGCTAAAAAAAAAGATAAAAAAAAATGGTTTCCCCTCCCTCCTTGCCACCCCTTCCTCCGCCCGTGGCTCTGCCCGGCCTGCGAGCCCGAGTGCCGTCCAATAAAGCTCAAGATGCCTCCAAGAGGGCCCCATGTGACGCCAATACTATCCAAGATGGCACCGAAACGGGAAAAAAGACCCCCCCAATACGCCCCCCACAGGCTCAAATGTCCTTCAGGAGGGCCTTGAGAGGCAACAGCATCGATTCCCATGAGATGTTCAATGATTTCTCGATTCTCGCGTTTTCGGATTTAAGAGCGTCCAAGACGGCCCAACAGGCTACCAAGATTCCCTAAGACGGCTCCAAAGATCCCCAAGAGGGCTCCAAGGCGGCCCAAGAGGGTTCCAAGACAGCCTCAGGCCCAAGCGCACCCCAAGACGGCCCCATAAAGCCACAAGACGGCTCAAGTGGACCCCAGGAGGCCCTTGAGAAGGCCCCAAAGGCCAGACAAGGGCCCGTCCACAGGGCTCCCCCATCATGTCTTTCCCAGCGGCTGGAGCAACGCGCAATGCACTCGCATTGTTGGACTTTCGACCGACAGGCGTCTCCAAGAGGCGAGGGGGACAGAGACTCGCTGCAGGCGCCTTCGATGCGACCCCTCCCGACAAACGTCCAAACTTTTCTCCTCGGCCCCGCCGCCATGGCTCGCACCCTGGGCAAGAGAATAGCAACCCGTCGCCCACGGGACCCAGGCGCAATTTCCTCCGCGCCCCCCCCCCCTCCCCCCCCCTGCCCCCTCCCCTCCCCCGCCTCCCCGCCTCCCCCGCCTCCTCCCCCTCCCTCCCTCGTCCCCCGCCTCCGCCCCCTCCCTCCCTCATCCTCCGCCCGCTCCCTCGTCCCCCGCCTCCCCCGCCACGCCGACGCTACACCACAGAGGGGGTGGAGAAGCGGGAAGAGGAAAGGAAGCCGTCGACAAACGATCACAATGGAGAGAGAAGACGTCTCAGCAGGAATCAAAGGCATCGAAATCGTCAACTGGATGTGATGCCGATCTCGGCGAACGTGTAGGGATGACTTAGCGCGCCCATGGGTCCTCGGGGCGCAGGCTGGCGATCCTGGACTCGAGGAACGCGCCCCGTGTGCGCACTTCTGCCTTCAAGCGGTGATCATCAGCGAACGCCTCGGCGTACGTATGCGCTGTAGCTCGGGGCGTGGCGCAGGAGGAAGTTGTCGACGTCTTGGGACAGCTCGGGATCAGGCCGCTGCGCCGCCCAGCGAACGAGGGAAGTTGCACTGTCCAGGTTCGAGACCGCCTGAACCCACTGCGTGAAGATGCCCGCCAGCGGATGCCCGCCAGCGACGTCAATAGCAGCAACGCGTTGAGCAGCAGCTCCTTCATATACGGGCTCGCGCAAAGGCGCGTACTCCGCAGCAGTGGTCTCGAGGGATGTGCGGCCGCACGCCGCGGCAGCCACCTCCGAGATGGGGAGTTACGTGGGCGCGCGGTGGATCGTCACCGTGAAGACCAGGATTGGCGGGTGGGTCTTGAACTGGCAATCCAGGGTCAGAGCTCGTCGTCGATACTGCCTTCGCCGAGCGCGCCCCCTCTTCCACGCCTCGCTGCCTGCGTCGACGTGGGGAGCACAACTGCCGAGGCAGGATGTGATGCAGCCGGGCTGACCTCTTGTCTGTGAGCTGCCGGATGTCGCCTCCACCACTGCACCATGCGAAGAGCGAAGTCACCATCGAGAGCGCGTGGGTGTGCACCCTTGTGGCCCTTCTCGGTCGTGGCGAGCACCAGGCTACTCAATCGAACGCTCTGGATGTCCACACTCGCTGGGAGGATCTCGTCCAGCCTGACGTAGACCGAGTTGCGGTCACAGCAAAAGATGAGGCCAAAGCCCCTGCTGTCGTAGAAGTTGCGCACGATGTCTATGTGCGTGGGCTTGACGGTACAGGTCCTGCGCCGCACTGGTTTGCCAGATCTTGTCGGGGTCGTCGACTGTGGGGCCGGAGGGGAGATGGACCATAAGTGAGGATCTTATCAGCTTAGCAAGCGCGCCTGCCATTCGCATCATGAGCTATGTATATGTCCAAGCCCCTGTCAGACACCACGATCACCTGGGAGTCGAACGAGAGCTCGCGGAGATGCACGTCGTCCTGGCATGCCACGCGAAGCTGAAGACCACGATCAATAACCAATCCAGCCATATCTGTCAGCTCGGCCTCGGCAGCCAGGGACCTGGTGTGTGTGTGTGTGGTGATGTAGACCGTCCGAACGAACAACTGCACCAGCATACCTTCCAGCAGCGTGGTCAGGTTGTGCAGCTGCCACGTCGATGCAAGACAGAGTCCCAATAGTGAAGCAGATGTGGCCTGGCCCGCGAACTTAAGAAAAAAAGATCAGCGATCGTCAGGGACTGGTCATCTGCGCCTACAGGGACAGGAACGGACGCCAGAAGGTGTCCAGTGCGCGACAGTCCGTCACGTCTGGCGTCTCGGGCAGCAGCGGACGCAGCCTGACGCCGAAGTTCCTCAATGACTGTTACCTGTCGTTCGATCTATCCATTCTCGTGTGCTGCAGTAGGCGGTCCATGAGGTGCTGTACCTTGTCGCGGGCGACCACGTCGGGGGAGACCTCCTGTCGGCTTTCCCATCGCGCTGCATCTTATCGATGTCCATGGCCATTGTGTGAAGGAGGGCTTTGTCGTGCAGCACGTCGGTGAGCGAGGTCTGCTGGGCGATGGCAAGGGCCTCCCAAGACGAAACCATCGTTGTGGTTTCGGCAGGTACTACTCGATGCGCTGCTGCAGGAACAAACTCGGTAGCTTTGGGGTCAAACCGTCGGCGCTGGGGTACATGCTGAACTTCACTACGTGGAAGTGCCGCCAGTACCTCGAGCTGCTGCGTGAGCGTCTTGAACTTCGAGTCAATCTCCACCGACAGCTTCATGACGTATGCTTGGACATCCTGCATCTGTCTCTGCAGCACTGTGCGCGCAGGCGGTGGCGTGCTGCCAGCGCGAGCACGATCCAGTTCAGCCTGAAGGAACAGCAGTCTAGCTTGAACTTGTGCGCCGTCAGGATGTCGCTGGTCGTCAGGGCCTCGGCGTCGGCGCTGGCATGTGCGTCTCGAAGGGCATGCTCCTGAGTATCCGCTATGCCGAAGGGCATCAGGGAAGAGAGCCAACCATCTCGAGGCTGCCCACGAGATGCCGAGCCTCGCAAGGAGCCACCGCGTGGCAGCGCCCGTCGAAGTGAAACTGGTGCCGCTAGCGTGGATCGCGAAGAACTGTACGCACGTGCTCAGCATCGCCAGGAAGCCGCGAACCATCTGCAGAGGAATCGCAGCCACAGTGCCGGAGAAAGAACAGAAAAGACAAGCCATGCTTGTGATCTGAACCAGCACGGATGTGGCAAGGGGTATGGAGGGTACCACAGCACCGTGGGCTTCGCAAGACTTGCTTGAACCAGAATGGCTACGGGAGGAAGAGGAGGAGAAGGAGGAGGAGGAGGAGGAGGAGGAGGAGGAAGAGAAGGAGGAAGAGGAGGAGGAGGAGGAGGAGGAGCAGGAGGAGGAGAAGCAGGAGGAGGCCGCCTTCTGCTGCGGCTTGTCGGGGGGCGCCAGGTGGACGCCCGGTGGCCGCTTCGGCAGCGCCTTGTCCGCCGGGGGGCGCCCCTGCGAGTGCGCAGAGCGCCCGCCCTTGGCGTCGGGCAGGACTGGGCTGAGGGGGGTGGCTGCCCCTGGCGCTCCCTTCCTGCCTCCTCCTCCTGCCTCCTCCTCCTCCTGCCTCCTCCTGCCTCCCCCTCCTGCCTCCTCCTCCTCCTGCCTCCTTCTGCCTCCTCCTCCTCCTCTTCCTCCTCCCTCCTCCTCCTCTCCCCTCCGAGCTCCTCCTCCGCCTCCGCCTCCGCCTCCGCCTCCGCCGCCTCCGCCTCGGCCTCCGAGGGCCTCCGCCGCCGCCTCCGCCGCCGCCTCCTCCTCCTCCTTCTCCTCCTCCTCCTCCTGCTCCTCCTCCTCTCAAGCGCATGCGGCCCAATGCGCGTAGTTCCCTCTGGGCTCAGACGAGCCACGGTGTCGCGCCCCGCGCCTCCACGCGGCCCTCGAGGGGCACTGGGTCAGCCGCGCCACGGATGCGGAGCCGATCCCGGTGGCCAAGCATGGCGAAGTCGATCGATGCATGATGATGTTCTCTGGACGTGCCAGCATCGTTCGATGGAGACGGCTTCCAAGGGGGCCAACTTTCGCCTGGTTTCAGCTGGTGGCGATTTGGCAGGCAGCGGGGCCCCTCGGCACGTTACCACCTGCAGTGCAGCAGTGGGCCTCGGGCGAGTATTTGGGATACAACGTCTGGTTCAGCGCGTGCGAGAAGAGCAGGCAGATTCAGCAGGTGGTGCCGCAGCTGAGCGAGGTGGGGAGGCGAAGGATGCGCCTACCGACATCAGCACCAGAACTTGGATCAGCACGTGCGGGAATGGTTGGCAATGGTCTCCCTGGAGATGTGCATCGTGCAACGCTTCTTTCGCTTTGCAGGCGGAAGGAGCTGAGAAGCGTTAACACTATTGCTCGCTGAATGGTGTTCATGGTGCAATCGGGTGAAGGTTCTCTTCCATACCTTGGCAGCCTCTCTTCGGAGGCAACATGTCATTCCTCTTACTTGGCTTCTGGATCGTCTCGGTCCTCGGGGAGCTCTGAAAGGGAATGGTGTGTTGTTGGATGGTTTCGTTGCTCGCTCTGCTGTCCCGGCTAACTGGTACTAAACCACAACCATAAGGGTAGAAATAAGAAGCAATAATCGTCCCGACAAGACCATACCTCGGAGACTCAAACAGCCTCAAGCCGGCTAGCCGGCCGACGCGCCTACGGCCAGCTGTGGGGTTCTCCATCGCACGGCCCACCCAGCACGTCCTCAAGAGCATCGTCGGGTGACGGGCGTGCTGGTGGCGAGGTAGGCTCTTGGCGCACGTGATGCTGATCAACCTACGGCAATTGCCATACTTCGCGACGCAAGTCATGCATAGACCAACATGTGTGTACGACGTGATGTTCTTCGCCATGCTTCTCCCCGTCCATTGCGACGCTCTCCACACCGCCCCTTGAGGGCCTCTGGGACTACAGCAAGAGCGGATGTTCAATAGACGGGGTTTTGCTGAATAGATTTCTTCTGATGCTTGCGGTCTGATCTTCAGCGAGATCGTATCCAAGCTTCGTATGTGTGCGGCTACTGTGGCAGCCCGCCGGATCGCCGGGCTGCGGCCATGGGGCTGCGTCGGCTTTACGTTGGCGCTATTTCACTGAAGGTCTTCATCGTGCTTGCTGTTGGAGTTACACCTGCTGTTAGGATGGATGTTGTACAGTGGAGGTCGCCATCTTGACCCCGCACTGATGCTTTTACCTCAGTTCACTAGTCTGCGGCGGGATGCTCCCCTGTACTGGGACGATGGTTTCGTTGCTCACAACTTTTCGGATTCCGATTCCGATTCCGATTCCCCCTCCTCCTCCTCCTGCTCCTCCTCCTCCTCCTCCTCCTCCTCCTCCTCCTCCTGCTCCTCTCTTCCTCCTCCTGCTCCTCCTGCTCCTCCTGCTTCTCCTCCTCTCCTCCTCCTCCTCCTCCTCCTCCTCCTCCCTCCTCCTCCTCCTCCTCCTCCCCCCCTCATCCCTCATCCTATGCCTCCCTCCCTCCCCTCCCTCATACCCACCAGGGAGCGGGAGGAGGAAGGGGCCTGCAGGGGAACCACCCCCCTCCGCCTCCCCTCCTCCTTCTCCTCCTCCTCCTCCTCCTCCTCCTCCTCTCCTCCTCCTCCTCTCCTCCCCCTCCTCTCCTCCTCCTCCTCCTCTCCTCCTCCCGCCTCCTCCCCTCCCCATCCTCCTCCGCCTCCTCCTCCTCCTCCTCCTCTTCCTCCCTCCCCTGGGGCTCCGCGCCGCGCCCGGGCTCCCAGCCCCGGCCCGCGGGCGGCCCCTGGCTCCCCTCCATCCCGCACTCCCTCGCCACCCGCGGGCCGAGGGTTGCGATCCATCCTATCCATTCCGTCCTCCATCCTCCATCCCGCGCATTCCATCCTCCATCCTCCATCCTCCATCCTCCATCCCGCGCATTCCATCCTCCATCTCGCATTCCCTCGCCATCCCGCACCACCGCTCGGGGGCGCGCAAACGTGGCTTGGCGATCCATGGCTTTGGCGCGCGGCCGCCAAATCCGTGCATCGGGCGAGATGCCCTCTCCAAAAATGCGGCCAGTGCCGCCGCGGTTCGGCGGCGCGAAAATCTCCGCGCTTTCCCATGGAAGCGGGACCCGTCGCGAATCCACGCCCCCTGAAAGCATGTTTGCGATCGCCTGATAAGGGCAGCAGGGCGGGGGTGCCAACCTCCTCTCCCCCATCCCCGACTCTTCTCGCGCCTCCCACTCGCGATTGCTGAGTCCAGGCACGGCCCAGTTCCTCACCCCTCCACCGGCGATGCGCAACGGTGTTCCTGCCACTACCGCGCACTGCTTTCACACTGTAAGTCGGCAGCGCAGAGGGTCCCCAAGCGCGAACCGCAGATGGAGGTGCGAATTGCGACCGAACGTGGTCGATAGCGCTGCGCGCAAGCAGCATCACCGCAACATGCAAGCAATGGGTGTGAAAGAGGACTTGCAAGTCTAAGCGAAACGTGCAGCCGCCAGGTTACAGGAGATAGCTCCAGCTCAAAGTAAACTGAAGCGCGAGAGCCAACAGATAATTGCGGCCACTGAATCACAGCAACGGTGTTAGACAATGAAGCGCAAGACATGATATAACACATTGGTGGCGAGGCCAACCCAGGAACGAAGCCGATGGGTGGGGTGGAAGACAAAGGGTTGGCGACGAAAACCACCTCGTTGCAGCGTCAAACGCAGCGCGCGAAAACTGTGTCATCAGCCCAGTCGAATGCTGCACGCATCGGAACTGCAGTGCGAGAACATCTTGGGCGTGCAACGTGCCAGCACGAAAGGGATTGCCAAATCCGAAACTGTAAGACGAGCAGGGTCATGAGAACCTGCCGCTGCTAGGGCGCCCGAACGCGGCGAGTTGGCGACCCAGCCACGGGGTGTGCCGAAATGTGTGCGGGGGACGCATGTGGACAGTGGCACTGGGGCCTTCGGTGGAGCTACCGATGCGGCCACGAAACGTACGAGGGGGGTGCCGACATGGGTGTGGGGTGGGCGCAGGTGGACGGTGGCACTGGGGCCTTCGACGGCGATCCCGATGGAGCCACGAAACGTACGAGGGGGGTGCCGACATGGGTGTGGGGGGGGGCGCATGTGGACGGTGGCACTGGGGCCGTCGGTGAAGTCCCTATGTACCACGAAGCGTGTGGCGGGGTGGTGCCGACATGGGAGCGGTGGACGCATGTGGACGGTGGCACTAGGACCTTTGGTGGAGCTCCCTATGGGGCCACGAAGCTTGTGAGGGGGGTGCCGACATGGGTGTGGCGGACGCAGGTGGACGGTGACACTGGGGCTTTTGGTGGAGCTCCCATATGAAGCCCCGAAACGTGTGACGGTTGCGCCGACATGGGTGCGGGGGGGACGCATGTGGGCGGTGGCGTTGGGGCTTTCGGTGGAGCTCCCTATGCTGACACGAAACGTGTGAGGGGGGGGGGGCGACATGTGTGCGGTGGACGCATGTGGACGGTGGCTAGGACCTTCGGTGGAGCTCCCTATGGGGCCACGAAGCGTGTGAGGGGGGGTGCCGACATGAGTGTGGCAGACGCATGTGGACGGTGGCACTGGGGCCGTCGGTGAAGTCCCTATGTACCACGAAGCGTGTGGCGGGGTGGTGCCGACATGGGAGCGGTGGACGCATGTGGACGGTGGCACTAGGACCTTTGGTGGAGCTCCCTATGGGGCCACGAAGCTTGTGAGGGGGGTGCCGACATGGGTGTGGCGGACGCAGGTGGACGGTGGCACTGGGGCTTTTGGTGGAGCTCCCATATGGGGCCCCAAAACGTGTGACGGTTGCGCCGACATGGGTGCGGGGGACGCATGTGGGCGGTGGCGCGGGGGCCTTCGGTGGAGCTCCCTATGGGGCCACGAAACGTGTGAGGGCGGGGGGGGCGACATGTGTGCGGGGGACGCATGTGGACGGTGGCACTGGGGCCTTCGGTGGAGCTCCCTGTGGGGCCACGAAGCGTGTGACGGAGGTGCCAACATGGGCGTGGGGGACGCATGTGGACGGTCGCACTGAGGCCTTCGGTGGGGTTCCCTATGGGGCCACGAAACGTGTGAGGGGGGTGGTGTGCGGGGGACGCATGTGGGCGGTGGCGTTGGGGCTTTCGGTGGAGCTCCCTATGGGGCCACGAAGCGTGTGAGGGGTGATGGTGATGATGACGGCGATGATGATAACGATGGTATTGATGATGGCGGTCGTGAGGATTATGACGATGATGATGGTGATGACGGTGATGATGACGACTATGATGATGATGATGATGATGATGATGATGATGATGATGATGATGATGATGATGATGGTGGTGATGATGATGATGATGATGATGATGATGATGATGATGATGATGATGATGATGATGATGATGATGATGCTGATGCTGATGGTAATGATGATGGTGATGATGATGATGATGATGATGATGCTGATGATGATGATGATGATGATGACGATACTGATGGTGGGAGG